CTGAAACCTTTTAAAATGCCGTGTTGTATTCTAGCATTGGCTTGTCTGCTCTCCTGGTGCCGACCTTTGGCACAGCCTCATTCCTAAAGCTATTTTTGGCTTTCATCCCTTATAATATCCTTCATTCTTCATAACTGATGGTGGCAAATATTCTCCTCCTCATGGAAAGAAACTTGTCCCAAAATCAGCTGTATTTAAAGCAGACGGTTATACAATCTACATTAAACCAAAAAAAGATGCAACTCTTTCTATTAATGAGTATTTCTTATACACGATCAAATATGTCTTTATATATCTTTTGGTTTCGCTCATATTTTAGTACGTTTTGGCGATTTTTACAATGTGTTAGGGCATTCAGGTGTGAGTTGGGTCTTAACTTTGTTTGAGGGGAGTGGCAGCCTAGTGGTTGGGCGTAGAACTTCAAATCCTGAGGTTGTAAGTTTGAAACCCACTGCAACATGCTGCCACTCTGAGCAAGACATTTAACCCCTGATTGCACCCCAGGCGCCTCATGATGGCAGCCCACCGTATCCCGAAAGGAATGGGTTAAATGCAGAGGTATATTTCTCCAATGTGAGATCAATAAAGTTCAATTATTATTATTTTTACAGCTTCTGTACTTTAATTTGTCCCTATAATTGTCCGTGGGTGTTTTCTTGTAAAATAGAATTGCAGTATAAAAACGACATCATACGGGAATAAGAGCAAGATTGTAAATAGAGTTCAACTTCAATATCCTTATTATACTTAATAACATCTTTTATTATGGTTTAACAACATATTACTGATATATTATTATTTCTGACAATGAAAACATATAAGCTTTGATGAGCTTTTTACTGGTTAAGTATTTCAATACATTAATATAATAATATTCTACTGCTAGGCAAGATATTAAAAATAACACATTCTATGATCCATTAGTGATTGATTTGGTATTGAAATCTGAATTAAAAATAAAGAGATAATAGATGAAAACTGACATTTCTGAGGTAAATCCTCTTGGTAAATATTTAACAAGAAAAACATTTCTAAGAAAAAAAAGGAAAACATTCACTATCTGCTTCAATGAGATTCTATTCAAAGTTTTTTTGTATAAATGAATCATGTTTGATGTAAGAAAATATGGTTAAAATTTTTTAACAATAAATATCTACAAGCAGGAGGTTATTTTGGTTTGATCAGAGACCATTATATGCTTTAATTTGAACGGGGTCAAATGGAGTCAGAACCCAAATAATTTGAAACAGGATGTGGTATAAAGTCTTAGAACATCAGCATAGAGTTTATTAATTTACACCTGAGATGTACAGATTTTTATGTTGATTTTTACAGCATACAGAAGCATTTATGGACAAAGACAAAAAAGTAATACAATAGTTTAGTACATGGGTATAAAATGGGTTGGTTTACTGATAGGTGTCAGTTGAAGTGATTACAAAATGGAGGGTTTTATGTTTTTGTTTTCATTATTCAAACACAGGTTGTTTTCATTTGGTTTATTTTTCCATATGTCATTTTTCGCAGAGCTAATGGTAGGCCACATGGATTTTTTTATAACAAGAAAACACGATTATACACTAGTGGATATAAACCCAAAAAATATTATTGGACCTTTTTTCTATAATTTGTAAAACTGTATCAAAAGAAGAACAGAAATTTTTATCTGGATTTATTTCAGAAGTGAAGCATCCTCTGTCTTTTATTTGCGTTGATTAAAAGATTTTTCAAAGTTAAAAACAACTACAGCATTCAGAGAAGTTTAATTCAACTAAAAAAAAATAAAAAAAAATTAGCTTAAGCTGAAAAGAATGAGACTGCTTATATAAAAAATACTAAAAATAATAACAACCTTGTTTATAAAACTGGTAAAGATAAAAAAATTTACTTTGCTTCATTTGCAGATATTTTTTTACGTTTTTTTTTCATGCCAGTGTTATTCTAAAACACCTTCTGAAACATATCAACATTATCCTATTAAATTAACTCCTCTGACTAACCTAGCTTTAATTTTTAGGCCAATGCTTCGTTTTCCATAAAAGAGAGTTTAGACTTAATGCACGGCTGTATAAAGCTGTTTAATAAAATTTTATTTGCCTGTATTTAAGGCAGACATTGCGTCAGCACATCTGGACAACTGATGCACATCTAACCAGCGGAGAACCTGGAACCACAAGCCACCTGAATGCAGTTTGTGATCCAAATCATGCAGAAATGCAAACCTATGCAGAGACCTTTTCTCTTTCATGTCCTCTGCAGGACCAAACTGGACAATTTTCTTTGAAACACGTGCAAAGATAGACTTCTCTTGAAGTGCATCGGTTTCCAATTAAGCCAGCTCCAGATGATTATTTTCACAAAGTGACAGCAGCCTGATCCTGAGCAAAGCTTTCCTTTCATGCTACATCATCAGCTGCTCCTGTTGTGATAAAAGCAATGAAATCCAGATGTGTTTGGCACATATCTCTGATCCACAGCTGGGATCATAACTCATATGTCTTTGAATGATAACAGGAAATCTCAAAAGTTTAGTTCCTGCTATGGGACGTGTTGTTTTCATGGCTGACCACTTCCTTCGCTCACGAGCTCCAACTAAGCATTTTTATTTAAGTGAGAAAAGCTTACACCAGGCAAAACGATGAATGAAAACAGATGCTGGAAAAAAAACCTTTAGATTTTTTGAGTCTGTTGGAGGCCTAATGCCTCTCTTGGTGGGGCTCCTCCTTTCACTCAGCATGGATTAAGCTTGTTTACTCGTCACGATGAAGTCAGACAGGGAATGTCTGAGGTTGAGAAATGTTGATAAACCACAAAACTTCTCTGCCACATCAGCTTTTTAAATCTAAATTAAGATTGTTGTTCCTTTAAACACAGAAACAACATCATCACTTCCCTTCAATTGAACATTTATTTGCCTGAATTGTTCTCTTGTAATTGTTTCTTCTATCGTTCCATCCCAAACAGGGATGCATCTAACTGATTATAGGTTTCATGCAGTGATGTAATCCTAAAGCCATTAATTAAAGCTTTTCTTCTTTCTGCATCAACACTGAGTGCAGCATCTGCAGACAGTCAGCGCCAGCTTCATCTGATAAGTGCTGGAAAGGCTGCTTCGAGCATTCATCCAGCTGAGGAGATGTGTTGCTGCAGGGAAGGTTTTTGGTTCTGTCCTGCAGCCCTGAAGGAGGTTGTTTTTCTGGCTGTTTACAGACACTCATAAGTGTGTTCGCCTCAGGCCTCTTGTAAACCGGCTGACTTATCCACCTTGTCTGGTTGACTCACATGCCAGCCACTTGCGGTCAGTGACTAAGGTCTCCTTTGGCTCGATCCTGCTTCCCGTGTCCAGCCAGAACTGACAATGTCTATCTACTAGTAAATGTCACCATTGGTGATTTTTTTTTTTCTAGAAAGTTGAAAAGTGTTATCTTTTTTTTTTCTTTTACTGTTTTTTGAATGTTTTTAGAGATAGTTCACATCTACCCCTCCATACTGTCACACCGTACCATGACTGAAGGCAATTCAGTTTAAATGTTTCCAAGCAGTCTTGAAATCCATCCATCCATCCATCCATCCAATCAATCCATCCATCCATCCAATCATTCCATCCATCCATCCATCCAATCATTCCATCCATCC